AGTTTCCTTGTCATCCCTTTGGCTTCCAAATGTAAGGAAATAAAGATGAGAGAAAATGAGAGCCCTTTTTCATAAGGTTTCACCATCTTCTGACTGTGTTAACAACCATTAATAGTGATATCTTCCTTTATCTTTGATGAGATTTTTTTTTTAATTTATTTTAAGATTGTTCACTGCCTAGAGTCACTTGCTGAGATAGGTGGCCATACAAATTGAATAAACAAACAAACAAGTAAAACAGTACTTCCACAGAGTTAAAACATTGATGTTCAAAAAGCTTTATATGAATCAGTATTGAAGTACTTCATATTAATTGATAAACAAATGAGACATTTAGAAGACATTCAGTATTACAGTGATACTGAAGATAGAAACAGACCAAAAAAAAATAACAAGGAAAGTCTTCCTAAAGTTCTCCAAACTCAGCATAAGGTTCCAACCACAAATTGGTATACTAAAGGAAACTAATGGATGTATATACTGAAATTCTATACAGTACTGATGTCAACAGTACTGTTGATGCCAAGATACCTTAGAAGATATTCCCTACTCATAAGAACCTCCAGTACTAAAAGATTAAGTTAAATCATCACTCCAGCCATTTGCAAGTGAGAAGGCTATAGGAATTGATGGGCTGTCTACAGAAATATGGGTACCAACAGAGGAAGAATCAGTAAAAGCTCTAACCGAAGTATCCCAGCAAATCTGGAGAATGACACAGTGACCAACAGATTGGAAAAAGCCTAAAAGATTAAAAGATTTGGCAATACCTACAATGGAGGTATTGTTGGTGAAGATGATGGAACTTCTGAGATGGCCAAACTGACTTCTTTGATTAGAGAAAAGACAATACAGTGATACCTCGGTTCACGAACGCTTCTGTTCACGGACAATTTGGTTCACGAACAGCTCCGGTCGCAAAATTTTGCCTCCATTTGCGAACTCCGTATTGGGTGATGAACAGGATCCGCGGCCATTTTCCCTGCTGACACATGGTTGTGGCTTCCTGTAGGCGAGATTGCGGTAGCAAACAGACGTCCTGGGAAGCTTTTTGGTGTGCTTGTTAGCATGGCTCCAAAAAAGGTGCAGAGCGAGCTTGGTCAGAATAAGGTTTTGAAGAAAATAACCATTGAATTGAAGAAGGAAATTGTAGAAAAGCACGATCGTGGTATTTGTGTGACTGATCTGGGCTCGGAGTACAAGATGGTGAAGTCAACAATCTCGACTATTTTG